CTTATGAGTTTTATCTTACATAAGTCCATTATCCTTGGTTTTTCATAGGATGACTGAATTCAATGATCATTTAAGTGAATTCGGCTAGACCTTTTCATAGAGGTTGGGTCGGACCCATGTGGACTTATGTGAGGCCATTATGGGGTCTCATGACATACAAATCAGGCTTAAGTTGACCATGCATCACTCTTAGGTCGTGAGTTTTATAATTGATGGGCCTAAAGCCCATAATTAATATGATTAATTAAGTTGTCACATGACAGTTTAAGTTGTCATGTAACATGGGGTGAATCTGGTTTTGGAACACCCATCATCTTAAGTTGTCATGTGACATGGGGTGAATTTGGAACACCCATATCTAAATTAGATTTGGATAATCTTCTAATTTGATTAGGAGAAGTGTTCCATAAAGAGAAAAAAGAAGATGGTGAACTAAACTAAAACACCTCTCTATTATTCTCCCTTCTTCTTTTGTCTCACAAGAAACCCTAGTTCGACCACAACTATTTTGGGACTGATAGAGATTAGTTTTATTCTGATTTTTGCAAAAAAAAAAAAATCCAGAGGAATTTTGTGCTCACCCCCCCATTTCGATTCAAGCAGTTGGATTGTAGTTTTGCTGAAAATTGCATTGTTGAATTGGCTTCAAGAATACATTGCACCATCTTCAGTGGAGGCTGGTTTTAAGACTGATTTGGGCATGAACTTTCACATTGAGATGCGTTTGTGGCATTCATATTAGGTATATATCTCCCTCTTTGTTTGGTTTCAAATTTCGTCCGGTTTAGTACAAGACTGATTTTGAAAAATGTAGTTTTTTAAAGCATAGGGAATTCGATTCCCGGAAGGATTAGGCGTCCAACCATCTAGCATGGTTCGACCATCCATATGATGGATCCTAACCCTTCCTTCAGCGGAATCAGAGCATTAGGTTTAGCCCTTGGACTTAAGCAAATCAAATTTGAACCAAAACTCAAATCAGCAAGAACTAGTCTAGCTGATTTGAACAATTAACAGAAAATTCTGAGAAACCGGTTCTCAAAATGGGCAAATGATCTGAAATTTTGGTGAATATATTATGATATATTATAGAATTGTTCTATTATGGATTCTTAAAATCTTGGGTTGAAAGTGTGATGGAGATCGAAATCTTGTTGGTGGCAAGTTTTGTATACACCGAGATCATTATATTGATTATGTGGTCTGTAATTAATTATTTTCTTTTTTAAAAAGAATGTATTAGATTTTTTTTTTATGTAAGCAATAGAAGTTAGTGTTTTCTATTTTTTTACATCATAGAAATCGCTGGAGCGTGTGGAGAAGGCAGAGCTTGTAGATGGAGATCGATCTGTAGACTGCAATTTTTTGCAAGGTTGTAGTTTTGTCTGGATTGGATTTAGACTATCATACTATCAGCCATAGCTATTTATTTTTATTTATTTGTTGTTTTGATTATGAATCATAACTGAGAATTTTAGATCATTACCTATGTGAGATGTTTTGTACACCAACCCTAAGTCGATTTGACCTAGTTTTGATCTAATCTTGTTGGGCCAAACCTATGGTTACTTGGGGTTTGATCATAGCCCCTTGGATTGTGATTTAAATGACCCAAAATCGGTTTTAGGCTAGGGGTTTGATGGCCCATTGCATGGACCAATTTGGCCCATACTTGAAAATCCCTTTTTATATTAGATTGAAGCAAGACTATCCTATTTTAGCATGGATTGCTATATAGGCCGAACTACTTTTTGCAGCTTAGCATATATATGAAGATAAAATTATTAGATAATTTGGTCCATTGATGGGATGATCACGTGTTAATCTAAATGGATATAGGTTTTACAAGTTTTAAATTGATTTGGATCAATTGTGTGTGTATGTGATGTGATGAATGGATGTGATTCGTTCATGGGCCATAAGTGCTTGGCACATGTATTGATTTATATGGTTCTCTGCGAACATCATGGTTGAATGCACATCATTGCCATGATGCCCATGGATCATTGTATGATCTCCTTTTTTAATGACCCCCCTAAATAGATTCAGCTCCAAGAGGAAACTTGGACAAAGTAATTGCAAGGGCCTCCGATGCCCCAAGTATATAGTTCACTACGGAGCTTCTTCCCATGAATAAAATTCAAATTTGTCCAATTCTTTGTTTCATCTTCTCTCCTCTCGCTAATGCAATTGGAAGCGGTTCTTGTAGGTATTCTTGTGGGTGCATTTTGTAGGGGATAGAAGTGGTTGAAGAGAGAGGAGAGAGAGGGTTTTCGGTTAACCTGAAACGGAAGGTTTTCTGGTTAAGCTTGAAGGACATAATCCGGAAGCTAAACAAGGTTGGTGTGGCTATGGAGTAGTTCATTGTCTATGTCTGTGGTCTAACATTCATTCTCTCTCTCTTTCTCTCTCTCTAATGACGTTCTACGAGGAGGTGGAACTAGGGAGGAAACTCACAAGTCACAACCAGGAGAAAGCCCAATGTTCCGGCCATGAAAATCTACTCCTTTCTACTTTCTGTCTTAAAACCAAAAGATCAAATGACCAAAACCATCCCATAATATTTTGTTTGGTCACTTCAACCCTAATGGCAAGTCTTCTTAGAAGAGTTCACATCTCCGTCCCATCGTCTGTCGCCCCACAAACAGCCCATACAACGTGCGACTGCCACATGTCTAGTCGCATGGGGTGGGGTGTTCCCGTGTGTGGGGCTAATGGGATGGCCGTTAGCTTGTCCCGTTAACCCCAAAATAAACTTTGTGAAGTTTTGTCCATCGGTTAAGGCTGGAACTGTTTTGGCCACTGGTTTCCGGGTTGACGGTTCAACCATCCGGTTCGAACGAATGGCCCGTTGTGACAAATAAATGAAAAAATAATTAAAAATAAAAAATGATAAAAAATCGTTGAATGGGTAGACGGTTCGACCGCCTTGGTCAATGGATTGTTGACGATTTTTAGCCAAATACAAGGTTTGAGGTAAAACGAAACCCGTTGCTTGGATGGTTCCTAGGTCGAATGGTTCGACCATTCGGGTCAACAATGGTTTGAAAACCTTGCTCCCATATTCCTGCCCCTTCAACCTCAAATTGTGTCTGACCCGCTCTACTCTCCTCTGTTTGATCTCGGATCCAACTTCATCTCCAGCACCGATGATAGCTCCGGCTAGTTCCCTATCACCAGGCGGCCACCACCACTTGTTGTGCCACACAACGTGCAACTGCCACATGTCTAGTTGCACGCGATGGGGCGTTCCCACGTGCGGGGCTAACGAGACGATTGTTAGCTCGTCCCATTAGCCCCAAAATGAGCTCAAACCTCCTTTGTCCCATATTCTTGCCCCTCAACCTCAAATCAACGTTTTAAAAAATGACCCAGAAACGGAACCGTTTTGGCCACCGTTTTCTAGGTTGACGGTCCAATTGTACAGTTCGAAAGGATGGGACGTTTTGACAAATAAATTAAAAAAATAAAACTAGTGAAAAATAAAAAAATGGTTAAAAACTGTTTAACGGGTCAGCGGTTTGATCACCTGGGTCAACAGAACCGGTTGATCGCTTGGCCTGGAGGTCGGACCGTTCGGCCTAGGAACCGTCCAGGCAATAGGTTCCATTTTACTCCAAGCCCAATATTTTTCCAAAAACCACGAAACCGGTTGACCGTTCGACCTGGATGGTCAGACTGTTGAGGTTGAGGGGGCGGGAATATGGGAGCAAAGTTTCGAACTGCCGTTGACCCGGACAGTCAGACTGTTCGGCCCAGGAACTGTCTAGTCAACGGGTTTCGTTTTACTTCAAATCCAGTATTTGGCCAAAAACCATTGAAAAAATCAACAACCCGTTGATCCGGTGGTCGAACCATGATAAGGAAGTTTGGGCTCGTTTTTGGGCTAATAGGACGAGAGCCCTGCACGTGGGAATGCCCCACCGTGTGCACGTTGTGTGGAGCGTTTGTGGGGCAACACGTGGTGGAGCGGAGATGCGAACTCTTTTTAGAAGATCTTTTGGGTTTTCGTTAGATAAAAAAATGGTCTTTTTTTTTTCTGTTTCGTAACAAAAAATGAAAAACCAAAAAGACCCACATCCCAAAAAACTTGCCAAACGGCAGATAGGTATTTCATGGCTTTGAAAAGGATATTTAAGTCATTTTATTTGGTAGAGGATAGGCCATAGCTTGCTTTGAGGAAGGGAAAACGAAAATGTTCCATTTTTTGGTAAGAAAGGAAGGGAAAATCTATGATACCAGAAAGAAGATACACACGGCTTTGGGGGTAATGGTATATTAAAGTGTCAACGGAAGTCTTTACATTACAAATGATTAATGCAGTGCTGGCTTGTCGTAAGTCGTAACCAATAGCAATAGTCGTAGCTTTTGCAGCTTCCTTGTATTTTGGTTGCTTCCGAATTTAGGCAAAAGGATTCCAAATTCCGTTGCACGCTCCGACAATCAAATATTTAATCATTTAATGCTATTAAATAAGATGGGTTTCTGTTATTAGTGTCTGGACTCTGGAGAATATCTTTCTCTCTTTCTCTTTGGTATATACCTTATACCTACCATTCAGACACAACATCATGCCAATCTAGTTTTCTTTTGCATAATTCTTGGTCTATGAGCTGAGACCAGAAGGAAACGGTGAACTTCAACAGGTTCCACATATTTGTTCTTCTCTCTTTGCTACTCTTCTCTCTCTCTCTGCCAACAATCCACGGTTGGGGAGTAGATGGGCATCTCACGGTTTGCAGGATTGCTCAGGTTCTTTATTCAATCTTTCTCATCACTTTTTGAACAATGCTAGATATCTTTAGTTTTAAACCTCTAAACAATGCTAAATATCTCAGGTTAGTTCTGTGACTTCTGTCCATGACTTCTGTTGGTGTCTAGAGCCTCAAACTATCCATAAGTTTGTTGGTTTTAAAAATGATTACTTTGTGATTTCTACATGGTCTCTGTTCTTTTCTCTGTAACTAATACAACACGTAGTGTTTCTGTTGGCGTTGCAGGCTCGTTTAAACAAAGCTGCGGCAGATGCCGTGAAGCAACTTCTTCCAGACTACGCAGAGAATGATCTAGGAAGTCTTTGCTCATGGGCAGACCATGTCAAATTTAGGTATCACTGGTCATCTGCCCTTCACTACATCGATACTCCTGATGACCTTTGCAGCTACCAGTATAACAGTAAGTTTCCTATTCCCAGACTTTTTGGCTTTGCGTTTGTAGTCATAAAATGGAGCATGTTTACACATTTATTCTATGCATATGTTCAGATGAAATAGATATGTTATGATTGCCATGACCACAGATTCTACAGGATATATAGATTTATCTTTGTTAAAATGAATACTTGTAGCAACCTTGGTTTATTTCATCTCTGATTTGTTTCTTTATTTTTTCTATTACTATTGGACTATTTTGTTATGGACTCTGTTATATACCTGGGAACTGGGATCTTGCAGGCAACATGGGTAAATGTTATTTATTTATATTTTCTTGGGATTAATTATTGAAGAATATTTACATACCAGACAATGTTGAATACTGTAATGGCCATGGCTTGTCAGTTTTGATGCTGAATGACCATCTCAATTTGACAATGTTTATTGAGGAGTTGACCAACCCTAGGTCTACCAACCCTAGCTCTTCCCCTCTTACCAAAGAGAGCTCTAGCCTTCCTGCTAAAGAGAGCTCTAGAACTCTTACCAAAGAGAGCTCTAGATCTCCTACCAAAGAAGGCTCTAATCTTCCTGCTAAAGAAGGACCGGCTACCATACAAAGGATTCCTATTATAGAGATCAATCAAAGCAAAAAGGAAACTCTCATCTTAGGAAGTTTCCTACTGAAGCTCCTTTCCTTATTTCTCTGTTTCTATTCTTGTAATTGTTTCCAATTTATTCTTTATAATTTTTGTATATATATTCAGTCTTGTACAGTCATTCAATTAAGTGAAATTCGACCCATTCTTTGAAGACTACTCTTCTCTTTACTTTAACTATGTTGATGATGATGTTCAGGAGACTGCAAGGATGAAAATGGAGAGAAGGGAAGGTGTGTAAGTGGGGCCATTAAAAATTACACCAGTCAGCTTCTCAGCTATGCCATTGCATCTCAATCTGAATGTAAGGCCATTTACTTAACTATTTAGGCTCAGTTTGGAAGGAGTACAAATACAAATATGTAGAGTGCAAAACCTTGCATTTTGTATGTATTTGTACTCTCTCCAAACTGAGCCAAGCCTTGAGTTTTCTTTTCCCAACATTGTACATAATCTTTAAAACTTTTTCAATCGAATTCTCAACAAATAAATCCTTTAAAGTTCTGGACTTTCGGTAACTATAATTTACACTTAGCATCTAAAAACACAACTCAGAGCATTCCTTCTGCATGTACAAGGTTTCCTTACAGGAGACATTCCTCTCAATAAATCTGGGTATTGCCACACTTTGGTTGTGTTGTTTTTATATTTTCCAAATAAACAAATCCTGTATCTGGTGTCATGAGTTGGATCATAAGCACCTAGTAACAGAAATTATAGTTTGCAAAACTCTCCTTTTATGCTTACTGAGTGTACATTTCTTTTCATGTAATGAACGAGGGGATCAGATAACCTCACGGAAGCACTTCTCTTCCTCTCCCATTTTATGGGGGACATTCATCAGGTAACATGAAGATTAAATATATTGTATACTGCATTGGGGAGGACTTTTTGAGTTTCCATTCACAAAGCTAATTAATGGTTTCTATGCATCACAGCCTCTGCATGTAGGTTTTGCATCAGATCAGGGAGGCAATACTATTGACGTCCATTGGTACAGGAGAAAAACAGTCCTCCATCATGTTAGATTCTTTCTTTCCTGTTTTCCTTTTTACCATTTACCAGTTGTGCAAATAAGTATCAGATAATGACTTGATCATAACTGTTTGGTCATCCCAGCAAAAAATCTTTCATCTAAAGGATTAATCTACTGAGCTCCATGATGGATATGATGACTTTTGCCATTCTGTTGATTATGAGTACTGTTATTAATTGGAAAATATTCAGGTATGGGATGATAACATAATTCAGTCATCAGAAGAAAGGTCTTACAACTCAAATGTAGAAGATATGATTGATGCAATCCAACAAAATATCACGGTATGATGTGTTATTGCTAACTAATACAATCTAAAAAGAAAGAAGAGCGCCTTCTGTGAATTACTATAAACCATCTTATTCTTTATTACAGGGTGACTGGCAAGACGAAGTACAGGAATGGGAGAAATGCAGCTTCAATAATGTGACTTGTCCAGATGTGTATATTTCTCTACTTCATTTTTTAAGATCTACAGACATTTATTTTCAGTATTTCTGCTTTGGATGGGGGACAACAATTTCATTTTTTATTTATTTATTTTTTTCAGATGACCTTATTTTAAACTTGGGGTGACTTGGCATTTCCTTCAGTCATGTTAAGAAGAATCTAAAACATCAAACAATGAACAAATATTTTATCAGAACTTTGTGCTTCAGTAGATATCTGGAGCATTCATTCCCATGATAGAGTTGGATGTTTCACTTGATCACTTATTATTCTTCTATGCTTCAATCCTGTTTTACCAGTTACGCAACTTGCGCTTTCACATGTAAGTGAAGTAAAAACTAGCAACCAATTAGATATCAAAGAGATTCAATAAGAACCAAATTCTTGCCTCCAGTGGGTCTGTAGAGATAGCCATGTTCAGCTAATCCTCCATTGAGTTTTTATTTTCTTTTGTTTTTCATGGCATGCACTCACATGAGTAATCAAAAAGTGAATCCTAGATTCCCCAAAAAAAACATGTTAACCAATGAACATAAAAGAATAAACCAGAATTTTGCCTTGTCTGCAGTTATGCTTCTGAAAGTATTAAAGCAGCTTGTGATTGGGCATATAAAGGAGTTACTGAAGGTTCAGTGTTACAAGGTAAGCTACCTTCGTTTTGACAATTATACAATATTTTTTCTTTAGTTTTTTATCTGAGAGAAGATAAATATATAATTGACAATCACTTGCAGATGACTATTTCCTATCCCGTCTGCCGGTAGTTAATTTACGGTTGGCACAAGGTGGGGTTCGATTGGCAGCCACGCTCAATAGTATTTTTGGGTCGGATGACTCAATACCTGGTTTTGCTAAAGACGTTCATAAAATTTATCAACAATATAATTGAGGATATTGACCAGATCGAACCTTGTTATCTTAAATAAATGTTTAATATGTTTGAGTGATTATTTAATTCAAAACTATTATTCAAATGCAGAACATATATTTCAAAAAAGCTCTCTAGCTAGTCTTGTTTACTGAAGCATATTCTTCTATCTCTACAAGAATCTCTTAGCCTCTCACAAAGAAAGAAAAGTACAAGAAGCTCCATCTGTATGGTATACGCAGAAGCTTAATTCGTTCATTGAAGAATGGTTTCCAAAAGAAATTTCATTTTTCTTAGTTCTAAGAAACAGGTACATTTCTGAGAATCTGTGGCAAAGGGCACAACTGCCTTGTCTCAAGTCACTGCAATAGACTATAGAGGCAAAGGAATCTTATAGGCACTGAGGTTTTTTTGTTTGGGTATTCTATAAGCAGCCAGTTTAAACCGGAATATTATTGGGGAATGCCGGAATGTTATTCAATATCCAATGGTGATCGACTGATCAGCATGGTTTAAAGTATCGATACACCGGATTGTATCGGCAGGGTTGTATCTATACTTTTTATATGACTAGGAAAAGTCACGTCTTGTTGTAAAAAATAATAAATGGAAGGCAGAATGAAACTTATTTCTTTTGCTTTCTAAAACTGAGTCGTGCTACTTGATCACTCTGTAAAGCAAGCACAAATTTGAAGAAACACAAACATAAGAAGAAGAAAACATTTAAAAATAAAATTAAATTCAAATATTCAAACCAAACGACGGTTAAAAAAAGAACGATCAAAAAGGAAAAACGATAGAGGGCGTGCACATACGCCTGTATCCCACCCCATTCACAAACATTTCAGAAGTTGCCAATCACATCAATCAGGTTTTTGTGTTTGTGTGGGTCTTTAGGTCCAGATGTCAAATAGGACTCTGTGTTTGTATTGCACAACCCCCATAATATGGATTCAAGTATATCCAGAGCATATCATATTATCACAATACTGAGGTCTGTACTATTCATGTTCATCTTTAATTACTTACTACTAGCGGGCGGGCCACTGCGTTGCAGGGGATAGTGATAAAATAAAAGAAGTGATAATGTAAATTAGTTGTGTTGGATGTAGATGTTAAAAGAGTTCAATAACATAAATAGTCCAACAAGTAAAAAAATGATTCAAAAACATAAATAGTCCAAGAAGTGAAGAAACGATTCAAAAATACAAATAGTTCAACCACTGAAGATTCGGGTTCCCATGGGAATTCATCCCTGTCAGGAATTGGGAATGGAAAACAAATTTTGTTCCCAGTGGAAATCGGGGATGGGGATGGAAATTATTTTCAGAATCGAAAGTAATAACGAAAAATATGATCTCTGCCCCATTGCCATTCCTAATTATCTCTCCCACAATTTAAAGATAATTACTCAAAAAATTTAGAAAATATTCACCATGGGTTAATCATGTCAATTGTCGTTGGAGTATATGTGGCATTAATAGGTTTAATGCATTTATTACAAAATAATGTGCAAGAAATTAAACTAAAAAATATGAACGAAATTAACACAAAAATATTAAAAAGAAAACAATAATTCTACAAAATATGAGTAATAAGTATGAGCGAAATTAATAAGCTTAATGCATAACTACAATACTTATTCCATCATGCAATTGGATACAAACATTGTGGAAGAGAAAATGTAAATTAAATTAAATTAGGAAAAAAAACAATAGCCACCTAAAAATAAAGGTGCCCTAAACTGACCATCATTAATTGTCATTTCAAATTTGTACAGTTTAGGTGACATGTGTATGTTCCGGTGAGCGCCACCACCCTCTACCCTAGACAGCCGACTGCTGACCTGTTCAAATCGCTAGCAATCTCCTCAGATCGTCAGACTCTCTCTCCTCTTCTTCTTTTTCTTCTTCTTCCCTTCCCCTATTTTGTTACAGTGATAGTTCCTCTCTCTCTCTTTCTTCTCTTCTTCTTCTTCTTAGATCGATTAGTCACGGTACCACTGCCACTGCAACCATTCCTCTCCTTCACTCTCCCTCCCTCTCTCCCATTCTCTCTCACTCTTCTTCTTATTCTACTTGATCTTAGTAAGGGTACCACCGCCAAGAACCGCTCCTCTCTCCCACTCTCCCTCTCTCTCGCTCACACACTCTCTCTTCTTCTTATTCTGCTCGATCTGCTCTATCTCAATCAATCTCTCTCCCATCTTAGTCAGTGTTAGACCCTCAGTTCGAGACACTTGCGGAGGTTGTAGGGTGATGGTGCGTGATTTGGAAGTTCCTAGCTAGAAGATTATTTGGACACTAGTCGCGTAGCGAGCTGAACAAGCTGCAAGACAAAGGATTAGAGAACTCAGGGTGGCTAACTTGGCGAGGTCGCTCCGATGCTTAAGTTAGTATTGTACTCTGGTTGCGAGCTGAAAGGTTGAATGCAAGTAAACTAGTGAGCAAGTAATCGCACGCACTTGAGTCTTGGGGGTTGATACCCTTATATATAGGCTTCCGCGGGTCTCGCAAAACGCTCATGGAATCCCTAGTCCGTGATGTAGGGATCTGTTCCGAATTGGAAGGAGGGTAACGTACTAATTAATGAGGCTTACCGTTTCCCTCCGATTCGGGCAAGGATAAGGCTTATAGTTACGTGGCGTGATCTTGAGAAGTTTAGAGACAACTAGTGAGTTTCTAGGTTCGGCTATGTGGCACCTTGACGTACGTGGGGATCGAAGTGCTTTGGCTCCGAAGTGACCAAGCACCCGAGGTCCTGCGATTTGCTGATGTGGCACCACATGCTGATTTGTTGTCTGGCTAGCAGGCCACATACACGTGTCATTTACATATTAGGTCGGGCCAAATCACCCCTTATCAATTTCCCCCACTCCCTGTGCTAGGGGTCCTGACCCGTCGCGGGGAGTTCATGGCGAGCCCAAGTGGATTTGGCACGACTTCCAGGTGGTTCGGAGGTTGGCTCTTCGATCGAACCTTCATGACCAATTTGGCTCGACCAGGGAATACCTCAAATCGTGTATTGGGTACATGTGAACGCCATGCCATTTATAAACTCAACGGACGTCAAATCGTGTGCTCAACCGATTTCGATGGCATATAGTTGGTTTTGATGGGAGTCGTCAGATTGTGTAGATCTCGACTGTTGAGTCTCGGTCGCGTTGGCTATAAATAAGGGCTAGAGGGGCCCATTTTTCTAGCCACATATTGCGTGCTCGAGTTTGTTGAGGTCGCGCTTCAGTCTCCCAGGTCAGTGTTAGTCGCCATTGCATCCAGAGTCTTTTCTTTTCCTTTGGTCTTCTTGGTGAGTTCGTCTCCCTTTGTTTCCGTTTCCTGCTATCTTTTTCCTCTAGTTTGATATATCTAGCATTAGCTAAGGTAATCTTTTTGACGAGGGTGGACCTTTTGATTGATTCCTACAGACAGATGAGGTGTAAGGTTGACCTTTTGATTGGTTCCCATAGACGGCGCTAATTGATGGTGCATGTGATCTAGAAGCTCCTAGTTGGAAGATTACCTGGACACTAGTCACGTAGCGAGTTGGACCAAGCTGCAAGATAAAGGACCAGAGAACCTAGGGTGGCTAACCCGGCGAGGTCGCTCCGATGCTTAAGTTATTATTGTACTCTGGTTGCAAGATGAAAGCTTGAATGCAAGTAAACTAGTGAGCAAGTAATCACACGTACCTGAGTCTTGGGGGTTGATGCCCTTATATAGCTAGGATGCCATGGGTCTCACAAAATTCTCCCAAAATCCCTGACCCGTGACGTAGGGATCCATTCCACTTTGGAAGGCGGGTAACGTACCAATTAATGAGGCTTATCGTTTCCCTCTGTTTCGGGCGAGGATAAGGCTTATAGTTATGTAGTGTGATCCCAAGAAGTTTAGAGACAACTGGCTAACTTCTAGGTTCGGTTATGTGGCACCTCGGCATACGTGGGGACCGAAGTGCTCAAGCTCTGAAGTGACCGAGGACCCGAGGTCCCATGATCTATTGACGTGACACCACATGTTGATTTGTTGTCTGACTAGCAGGTCGCATCCACGTGTTCTTTACTTATTAGGTCAGGCCAAATCACCCCTCATTACAGGGGATTATAAAAGGTAAATTTTTTAATTAAAAGTTTTTAAGAAAAAAGATTATTTAAAATAAGTAGAAATTTGTGGATAATAATATGTTTAATTTAATAAAATAAAACAATAAATAAATAAATAGAATTTTCAGTTTTGAAGTCAATTCTATATAAATAAATCAATTATGTTGTTAAACAAAAAATATAATTTTTTTTTCTCAATTTCCTAGCCCGATGGTAAGAAGAGGCCTAAAAAAAAGGGAGGCAAACTGAAGAAGTAGAAGAGAGACAAGTCATCAGATGAATGTCACTTCTACAAGCAGACTAGGCATTAGAAGAGGAATTGTCCTTAATATCTAGAATCTCAGAAGAACAAAGAAGGTAATTTCGAATCTGTTGTCATAGATACCAATATGTTGGTCACTTATGCATCTTGCTATATTAACTCTGGGGATTCCACTCATGCATGTAACACATTGTAGGGGTTCAAGAAAAGCAGAAGGCTGAATGATGACGAGGTTGTGCTTTACTTGGGGACAAATACAATTGTTGCTGCTACTGTTATAGGAACAGTAGATTTGATTTTTAGAGAATGAGTTGTTACATTGAAAGATTGTCTTTATGTACCATTACTTAGAAGAAATTTGATTTCAGTTTCTAAGTTGTGTAAAGATGGTTATTCTATTTTATTTAGTACTAAGATTATGATTAAATTGAATAACAATTTCCTTACTCATGGAAAAATAAATATAGTCGAAACTGTGTCGGAGCACATCCCCAAGAAAAGAACATGTGATATAGTTAATCCCACGTGCTTGTGGCATTACCAACTTGACCATATTAATATAGAACGTATCACAAGATTGGTGAAGGATGGTCCTTTAGATTTTCTCAATGTGGAAGATCTACCAACTTGTGGACCTTACCTCCAAGGCAATATGGCAAAAATGTCATTTATAGGTAAGCTTGAAAGATCTATAGATACACTTGACCTTATACATACAAATGTATGCGGTCCCATGAATGTTAGGACATGAAACCAACATTGTTATTTCATAACTTTCACC